CGCGCTGGAAAGAAAATGTCTCTGCGCCTCTCCCCAGGGCGCGCTCTCTGCCCTGTTGGCTACTTGCCAATTTCATGATGAGGGGGTTCGACACATGCCGTCGGCAGCCCTTTAATTTGCCCTTTTTGTTGATGGAAACAATAAAAACGGATTTTTTTGATTTTTGATTGACCCACGTTTGATTTTTCTCCCAAAAGGCTTAATTTGCATTTTTTCTATTCCTCTTGAGATAAAAACAGATTTATACATGGGATTGCGCAGATCATTTTTAACTATATTTTGGAAAGTATCATTTGTCCGGGTTCCCGTCATCGTCGTCTTCATAATTCTAGCAATCGCAGCAGCAATTCATCAAACAATCACAGCATTCAAATGCGCAGCAACCACAGCAGAGACCGGCCAGGATACCGGCGCAGCAGCCGTCACTGTTGCCTCCACCGCCCTGTCGGCGTTGCTCGACTCTGAAAATTACAGATATTAAGTTATACGACGTAAATTCTGTGCTTTCTAGCCCCCTCTCGCTCTTTCGCTATCTCTCTCTCTCTCTCTCTCTCACTCTCATCAAAAACTCACACAACAACCTGCGGCTGATTATATCCAGGTTGCGGGTAGCCTTGTTGAGGTGGATATCCCTGATTCGGAGGGTAGTTTCCGGGGTAGGCACCCTAAATATAACAAATTTGAAGTTACTGTGAAACTCTAAATTTATATTCTGCGGATACGGTATCTGACTTACCGGCTGCTGGTTGTAGTACGGTCCTCGGTCGTCATAGCCCATTTTGGGAGTGTTTATGGATCTGAAACGTTTTTCTGAACTGGACTAGGTATATAATTCAGTGAAAAACATGAAATCTAGAAACAATTAATCCGAAACAGCTAATAGATCCAACAAGAAGAACAAGAAATAAACTAAGAACATATAACAACAAGAACAAGAATCTCTAGAGGAAGAAAAATTGCGAACAAGAGAATTTTTCTGCAAAGAAGATGTTCAAAAATGCCCGGGACAACCGAGTCGCCTCATAAATTCCGAAAAGTCCCCTACTGCGCCTTGCCACGACGAGGTGGATAACCATGGAGATCCGGTGATTCTAACGGGACAAAGCACCAAAAATGATGGAAGGCCGAGTGGGCCAATTGACCGCCATACATCCGCCGGCGGGTGGCCCCTTCGATTTTAATGCAAATAGAGAAAATCGAGGGGTTGGGGTTGATGTTGCTTGGGTTGGGTGAGTCATGTAGGTAAGGCGGTACCTGTTTGCAGTTTTTGTCGGTTTTGCAATAACAACAACCCTCGGGGCTTTAGTCATTTTGGTAGCGGTTTACCAGAGTGAACCCGAGAAAGAGAAAGAGAGAGTGAGAGAGCGAGCGAGAACGAGAGAGAGTGAGAGTGAGAGTGATGCAGCTAGAGAGCTAAAGAGTGATCGAGAAAGATTGCCAGTTGGATAAAAGATAAAAAAGTGGAACAGCGCTGGAAATAGCGAGAGAAAAAGAGAGAGAGAGGGCGAGAGAGAGATAGCGAGATAGAGAGAGAGCAAATGCAGAGTTAGGTAACGTAAGAAAGCAAGAAGAAAATGTCAAAATCTACCGTTTTACCCGGTTCTAAAAAATATTCTTCCAAACTAATGCGTGGAGTATGCTGGTGTTGGTCCCGTTGGTTGTTAGGCCTCAGAATTCGCTATTTACCCTGGGCCACCAGCCTGAAAAACCGCCTTCTCCACCCCTGCCAAACATCAACGGACCGCCGAAACATGCCGTAAAATATCGATTTGAGCGCGAGGGTCGAGTTGACGAATTTTGAATAGGTTGGGCAATCGGGAATTGAGGGTGAGGGTCACGAGTTGGTTGGCAGAAAGCGGAACGGGGGGTTAAAACGCATAAAAAGAGCGACAAGGAAAGTACATGGAAAAATTGGCGGCACCTCACATGAAGTATTTTTTAGATTTCACCATATAAATCAAAATAAATTGAAGGTTATCTTTTAAAAACTAATAAGTAAAGAGCAAAATCAAGGGTATACTGTAAGAAGCGGCTTGAATTTTTCAGTTTAATCGTTTTAATCATGTTTCAAAGCAACACCCAAGAGTGAAGACACGGAATAACAAAATCCCGAAATCGTGTGTTTGCGGGTGGATATGAGTAACCCCTAGGAACGGCCTCCCCAACCGATTATATTTCACGACCGAATGGGGCGTGTGTGCGTATGCATTCGTGTGTGTATGCGCGAGAATTGGGAAATCCTGACCAACCCCTTCAATTGGCAGGGAGCTAAAAAACAGGTAAAAGATGGGTGAGTCATTTTTGGAAGGAATTTAAAAGTTTACAAGTTTTAAATTGGTTATGCGAAAGGGAAATACGTTTTAGAACATTTATACTAAATTTTTGAAGCTTTGATACAGAAAAGAGACCAATTTACTGTATCGCCGATCGCCTACACCAATTTGAGGATCAAATGCCTGCAGAGCCCGACAGATAGAACTCAAACGGAGATATTCCCGATTTCGGCATGCCCAAAATGCACTGGCCCGGCCAGCCACCAATGTGTTGTTGTTTTTCCGGTCTGCCGAAACGATAGGACTGCCCTTTCCCGTGTTGTGGTCAGAGAGCTCGGATATTCCCCCCAGACGAGCCCGATTTGGTGTTAGAGAGATGGTGAGCATCAGATTTGTCCTGAAAATAGTGATTTGCTAACCCGAGGATCATGTTAAAGGTATCAATACGGTTAGGAAAAAGTAAAAATTATGAAGCAAAGAATTGCGAAAATCGCAAGAGAGCGCGTAAAACTTCGGAACTAATGGACCAATCTGCAACTAAAGCAGCGACTGTACGTAAAACAGACCTGTAAAATGGTGGAATTCGTAGCTTTGCGCACGAAATGCAGTTTTTTCATGTAAATTGATTACTCACCAGTACTGCGTTCATCGGTTGACCGTGTCAACTACAGGATTAAAGGGGCTTTATGCAGAAAGAAAGCGAGAAAGAGGGAGAGAGAGAGGGAGAATGAGAGAGTGAGAGAGAAAAAGAAAGAGGGGGAATGAGAGAGAAAGAGAGAAAGAGAGAGAGGGGGAGAGTGATTGGAATATTGTGAGTCATTCCACCGTACTAGGGTGTCACGGTCTCTAACCTCCGTAGCTGACGCCGCAGCGTTTTGCGTCAACCACTAGCCACCAAAAAACCTCTCCGGCTTCCTCAGTTTTATTTAATTTCTTGGAGCCTGTTTAACGTATAAAAATTATAAAATGATTTTTGCATTGTTCTCGCTCGATCAAACACTAGCAAAAAACACCCCCGCCCCCATTACGAGCAGATTACGTGCGATTAGTACTGTGCGAACGGTTTTTTGTATCCATTTTTTTGCGTTTAGATACCCTTCACACCCACTGGTTCCTTTCCATTGCTAGTGAGTGACCCGCAGAAAAATCGTTGGTTTGTTCCTTCGTGCTTTGTCAGTCTATTTGTACAGAAAATTCCTTTCCGGGGGGCGTAGGGAGGGCACTTGAATGGACTGTGTGGATTCGCTCAAAGTCGTTTTCCTTGTCGGGAGTGTGGCCCAGGTCCCGAAACGGTCAAATCTTTCCAAGGTTCGATTTTCCAAATTCCGGACCGTTTTAAACTAGAAAATTTTTATTTATTTTCTGATTCTGAAAAACTTAAGTGGGAGTCTTTCTGTTTCGAAGCAAGTTTATTTAATAGCTTTCTTCAGCTATAAAAACTCCATTTTTTGCTTTTCTCGCTGTTTAAGGGCTTGATTTGTTGTTTGTCTGCCCCCAAAGATTTAGTCAGATAGTTGTTTCGACCTCTGAATTAATCAAATCCCCCCTCGATTGCTTATTCTTATTCCCCTCACCATCCAGACTGTTGATTGACATCTCGGGGGATGTTTCTAATCAGAGTCCACCAGTCCTCTTATTTTTCTATTTTTTGCGCCGGGCTTTTTCCCCTCGATATTGACTGCTCAGAGTCACAGACGTGCCCCCAGGCCCTCATATTACGATTACCATTGATTCATACTGATTTCTAGGTCCTTACGTCTTTATTTATCTCTGTAAATCCCGATCAGAACGGCCTGGAGATGTTCAAGGATCGCTTGATGGATATGGCGGTACGCTACACAGACATACACTCAGTAAAATAACTATAAAGGCAGTGGTTTTTGTCGAATATCTCGGCGGTTTTTGCACGTATTGAGATGCAACTTTTAGAATAAACTTCTCAAGAGTAACTTGATATCTAGTACAAATCCGAAAAAAATCCGTTCGTGGAAAGTCCGATTTTTGGCAAATGACGTTTTCCAAACTGTAAAAAAACTATAAAGGCAGTCTAAAAAAATTCATTCAAAAATTCCTAAATTAGTTTCTTTGGAAATTTGCAATACAATCATGGTTGCTAGAACGTTTTCTATTAAAAATTGTTTTCTAGCATTAATGGTAGCCCATTTTTTGTGATTCGACCCGCCATGGCCCGGCCAGCTGATGCTTCCCATCTTGTAACGTTCTCTAAAAAAATTTCCTTCGTCGGAGCATTATTCTGGCCGCGTCCTTAGCTTGGTTTGGGGCTATAGTATTGTGGACCAATTGGAAACTGCACCGGAAACAGCCCAGGCGCTCGCGTGGACAAATTCTAATGATATTTGTGACGGCGGAATTCGAACTCGAGGCTTAATTTCGCAACGGCTTCAAGAAGCGGACCATATTTTTGTATTTAAGAAAGGTATATGATGCTTTGTGCCTGCCTGCTACTATATTTGCTATTTAAGACACGTTGCGGTGGCGAACATTGACGGCCAAAGCGCCTGGAACTCAACATTATCGGGGGTCGCATGAGCGACCGCTCGGATTAAGCTTAAGTTTTGTCGCCATGCTTCCCGGCCTGAACAAAAACCATATCACGATTAAGAAACACGTAAACCACGATTGAATCATAACTAGGACCGTAGGTTCAGCCGATCGGTGGATCCGTGGAACGCCCTCGAAATCCCAGATGCAAGCTGGAAAGTCTTGGGTATCTAATTTTTTTCACAGAGGAGATGTTAACTTAGAAACATTTTGTTCAGCTGCACACGTGCACGAATAAGCCGTGGCCAAGCCGCCTAAGTCACCCTGCACGAAAATTAGGAATTCAGCTGTGATTTAAGCAACTTCTAGTCGTTTCCGCACCTGTGAGAAATTACATTATAGAATTGCCTTCGCTTTCTTGACGTTTCAAATTTAGTTTCCAATTGTCTCACAATACTATAGCCCCAAACCAAGCTAAGGACGTGGCCAGAATAGTGCTCCGACGAAGGAAATTTTTTAGAGAACGTTACAAGATGGGAGGCTTCAGCTGGCCTGGCCTAGGAGGGTCGAATTACAAAAAATGGGCTACCATTAATGCTAGAAAACAATTTTTAATAGAAAACGTTCTAGCAACCATGATTGTATTGCAAATTTCCAAAGAAACTAATTTAGGAATTTTTGAATGAATTTCTTTAGACTGCTTTATAGTTTTTTTACAGTTTGGAAAACGTCATTTGCCAAAAATCGGACTTTCCACGAACGGATTTTTTTCGGATTTGTACTAGATATCAAGTCACTCTTGAGAAGTTTATTCTAAAAGTTGCATCTCAATACGTGCAAAAACCGCCGAGATATTCGATAAAAACCACTGCCTTTATAGTTATTTTACTGAGTGTACAAAAGAATTAAGCAGTTTTTTCAGAAAGCCAATCTGTCGCACTTTAAAAGTATTGACGAGGAGGTGATTGAGTTGATTCCGAAGTATTCACAGGAATTTTCAACGCTGGCTGCTCAGGTAAGAACCTTTTACAAACCGGGAAATTCGTTTTTGCGTACTACATTGGTTAAAGGGACCCACAAGGGAAAAATCTACGCTTGCACGCGGGCGCTCTCGCTCTCTCGCTCCCACTCTATCTCTCCCTCTCTCTCTCTCTCACTTTCTCTCTCGTTGCCTCTCTCTCGCTCGTGCCATCTTTTCCTCCCTCTCTCTCTCTCATCATCTCGTTCCCTCTCTCACAATCTCTTTCTCTCCATCTCACTCGTTCTCTCATTCTCTCTCTCGCTCTTTCTTTCTCTCTCTCTTTCCTTCTTTCTTGCTATCTCTCTATATCGCTCTCACTTTTCTCTCTCTCTCTCGCTCTCTCTCTCTCTCTCTCTCGCTCTCCTACTTTTCGAAGAAGTCACGAATTTTCTGATTTCTACGACCTACACCCAAAAATACGTTCTTGGCAAATACAACTTGTCTATTATCGTCATCCCTACTGTTCCAGCTGGTTGGTGAGCTAGAGTCAATCAGAGAAGCACTCAACACTTGGCAATCCTGCCAACAGTCCGTCATCTCTGGCCCCCGAGTCGAAAAAGAGCAAAAAGTAAGGGGCAGCACAAGGGTTATGAGAGTATGGCTGGTATTCTAGGAGGCACTCGAACTGCTTCGTGATCGGGTACGCGCGAGTATTGCACGCATTCAGCCGGCTGTCGACGACTTGGCTGAGCGGTTTGAGGTGTTGCAGCAGGGTTGGTTTTTATAGCGTAATCGATTAATTTATAAAATTTAATAAATTTTTTTACATTTTCAGCCGATCTTTCTGACGCTGGGATGATAATGACCACAAATCAACACACGCTGATCCAAACGACGTTGAGGGAAGCGAAAGAGGATCTGAATGCTATTGAGGTTGAGTACAAGCTGAACGTGGCGAATTGGTTTGAAGATGGTGGGTGGAATCGCTCTTGCTCTATTTGGCTCTCTCGCTCTCTCTCACCCCTCACTGTCTCTCGTTCGTTCTAGCTCTTTCTTTCTCTCTCTACGGCTTTCGTCCTTACGCACTCTAAACCTTGATTCTTCTCTCTTGCTCTCTACCTCCGGCTCCTAAATTCTCTCATTCTCTACTCGCTCTCACGCTCTTTATCTCACTTTAATTCCATCTAGCTCTTTCTCTCGACTCTCTCTCTCTCTCTGTCTCTCTCTCTTTCTCTCTCTCTCTCTCTCTCTGTCTCTTTCTCTTTCTCACTTTCCCTCTCTCTCTCTGTCCATCGCTCTCTCGCTTCGAAGCTAATACCAAAGAAACCCAAAAAATGCGAATACATCAGGCTATGCAAATTAGACAACATTTCTACCTTTAATTCCATTTTCAGACCTCCTACGGCCCTCTAAAAATGACATCCAAACCATTCCACTGGTGGTGAGCGCCACTACGACCACGACCACCACAACGATTGTTGAAGTCGAGACGGTAGATGAGACTGTGGTATGGAAAATAATTCAATTATTTAAATTACCCATTTAAGCCGAAGCTCCAGCGGCAACAGACACTCAACAAGGCCTACAAGGAGATGCAGCAGCGGAATGTTGATATTCTGGAGGTGGAAGGAAAGACGAAAATGCTAGCCGAGATGATGGACGATATGAATCTGCTGGTGAACACGCAGGTCAGTGGTGGTCAGAGTTTCGGTAGCGTCTTACTTTATTTGATTTCTATGCTATTTAAATTCTTGGATGGATGCAAAGTAGGCGTGACCCTCTAGTTTGTGATCCTTTTTTACTTCCTTTTACTTTCCTTTTTTACGTGTTTTAACTAATTTTATTTTTCCAAGTTAGTGGTATGCAAATTAGGGGTGAGCCTGCATTTTTCAATTTCTTTTTCACAAATTTTCTGTTTTCATTATTAATCATTTTATTGGATTCAAATTAAGCTCGACTTATTAAAATTCCTAGGAAGCAAATGAGCGGTAGCTTTGTGCCTACGAGGTACCTTTTTACGTCTTTTAACTAGTTTTTTTGCTATGCAATTCACTTGGATGCAAATGAGCTGTGGTCCAATGGCTGGCCCTTGCCTAGTGTATTTTGGCGCCAATCAATGTAGAGAAATAGTGTGATCCCTGGGAGAGGATGGGATCGCTAGGTCATCGAAAGTAGGTCAAGGCAGACCAACAACAAAAATTCATTATAAGATAAAAACTAGCGGGTATTAAGAAAAATAAAATAAATGACATTTGTGAACAAATACTCGTTGCAATATCACTTTTGACGAGTCTAAAAATGACATTTATAACATGAGGAATGGTCAGACACACTAATGGTGACTTCTTTCCTAAGGTACGCCCAGGCGAAGGGTCCGAGTTCGACTCCCGCCCGGAACCGGGTTTTTGCTTTTTGCTTTTTGCCTTTCCAATTTCTACGATTTATACAAACGACATGTAGCGAATCAAAACAAAGCTAGTAGTGCAAAAAATCATACCTGACCCCTTTCAAAACCACTAATTTGCTTATTAAACGCCTTAAAACCCAATTTCCGGTCCGAAACCCACTTTTTCGATTTTATAACTGAAACCACTATTCCGAATGGAATTTTTTGTAGATTTCATATTTGCAACCGGAAAATGGCAGATGTTTCTCTCTTTTCGCTTCCAGTCGCGTTCCATAGGAGGGGAGTTACAGGGACTATTAATGCCGATATCAGGTCCTAGGTACCTCTAGGGGTGTGTATGAGCCCCGATACCTATGGGATGTTGTTCAAGCTTTGAGTTGGCGCTAAATACAATAGAGCACGACCTTTTAGAGGGTAGAGGCATCAAATAGGCGAGAACCCCCCTACCCTATAGGAGTCCCCAGACGGCTAGGCCGACCCGGTTGGGGGTTCTATGGAGTCTCGCTGGTCCCAACCCTCTAGCTATGTATCTAGGCGTACTCTAGGTGGTATTTACTGTAGTTTTCGATGTACAGTATCGCTTCTGGCCTTTGGCTAAGATCAATGTGTAGTATCTGTTCTTATCGGCTTAATCTCCGGTACGTGTTCTATTGAACACATCGAGATTAACATATTTTTGGAAATGGTACGGTTCGCAGAAGCTTGCTTCTCGCCGTACAGCGTCGGCCCGGTATTGCACCTACCGCCGGGAACGGCGCACACCCCACACGGGGTGAACAATATTTTAAAATGAAAGAGCGTGAAAAACTGTATATGGTATGTATTTTTAGTAAAAATCGATATTCTAGGTCATTTGGGGTAAAACGGCCCTGGAAGGTTTGGGTGGGGTTGCGAGTTCTAAGGCGAGCTACGGGGTTTTCTGGGTTGTTCAAAACGCTGATTTTATTGCAGCAAGGAATAGAGCTTCAAAAATTACATAGGCTATGCACTTTTAATAAAACTCGGTACTGTAGGCCATATGAGGTAAAAATCGGGATTCCAGGTCTTGAGACACCCAAGGTTCCAAAAATCCATATGTGACACCCCTGGGTATCTCAAAATCCGCATTGAACAGCAGAAATCATATTCACCTGAAAAAATTATGGAAAGTATACATTTCTAGTAAATTCGAAATATATGGCTGTCGAAGTACTGTAGGGCCAGGCTATACCTACAGTAGTTTTAACTAACCTTAAAAGGTGCCTCCGTAGATCAGAAGATACATGCTATTAGAGCAATAATAGTTTCTCTATGTTTTTGGATGCATCAAAGTTCCAAAAAACCTTGAGTTAAATACATAGAAATTATGATTATTTGACGAGCGAGGATTTTTACTTGCGCGGAGAAACACAAAATATTCAGGGGGTCCCAAAAAACGACCCATCTGGCATTTCGCCGTGTTGCATCCAATTGGTCCCGAAATTGGACAAGAGGTGTATCAGACCCTACCTAACCACAATCCTGACTTTTAGCCCCGTAGCTATAGTTGTTCTCGAGTTATAACGAAAATACTGTTTTACCGCAATTCTGAACAGTTTTCTCGGTTATCTTTTTTGGACGTTGCATCGATTTGCATCGACTTCGATACTGTAGGTCATATGGGGGTGAAACGGCCCTGGAAGGTTGAGGTGGGGTATCGAGTTCTGGGATGATATAGGGGGCCCAGGGTAGTGAAAAACGCTGATTTTACAGCAGAAATAAATAGAACGTCGAAAATTTTGCATTACATGTCTTTTTTAGAAAAATCGATAGTATAGGTCGTTTGGGCCAAATCGGCCCTGGAAGGTTTGAATGGGGTATCGAGTTCTGGGGCGATATCGGGGTGCCGAGTTTAGTCCCGGATGCTGCTTTTATTGCAACAATGATAAAGCGCGATAAACTGTACATGACATGAATTTTTGTAAAAATCTGTACTATAAGTCATTTCGTCTAAATCTGCCTTTGGAGTTCGGTTTTAGATGTCTTGGAGTCCGGTATTTAGGGGCATTTCGGTGTTTCAGCGATGGACTCGGCTTTTTCAAAACCACAATTGAAACATAAAAAACACAAAGTTCAAAAAATGTATTTAAAAAATTGCGCCATCAATACGTCTATTTTGATGATTTGAATGCGGGACACCCCCGAGATTTCTGGTCCAAGATGTTACCGTCCTTACGAATCAATGAGAACAAATCTCCCTCAGCATTCGGCCATAGTCTTGCTATATTTTTGTGCAGCAGTTCCTGCCAAAAGAACACCCGCATTCCACATTCCAGATAAATATTCCCAGGCCCATCGCCCTCGGGGTGGTGGCTCAAGTTTCTGCATCGGCCCCCGCCCACCCACAATTGGGCATTCCCTTTAAGAAAGTGGACGGCCAGTTTTTATAGTTTTTTAGATTTTAAAAAGTGGATTAAACAAATCAACAGCTTGTAAAAAAATTGTGGGCACTCCAGATCTTCAATAATTTGAAAATTCTAAAGTTTCCCGAGAAGGGAATTGACGATATTTCGTATTGGGTCATTTTCGGTTAGATATGCAAGTGCAAAATGTTTAATTCGACCTAAAATGTTTCAAATTTTACTACGAACTTTTTCAGATTGTTTAAAAGCGTATTTGCATGTTCTGAATGTCAAAATTTAAGGCTTTCAAGACTTGCAAAGCCCCTTAAAAGCCATTTTTCGATTCGTTCTCCTCTCAAACTTCTAATTTACTCCCCTTTAAGAAAGAAATCGCGTAATTGGATTGACCTTCACAACGCCAAAATCCTATTATAACTCTAATTCCAGGTGGAGATGTGCGACCGGGTTGATCAACATGTCGACGCGACCAACTACCTAATCGGCAAGAGCGAAAAAAACGTCAAACAAGCCGAACAGCGCCGAAACGCCACCAACGACAAGCTGTGCATCATCTACGCGATCATCTTCTGCGTGGCCGTTGTTTTTATCCTAGTCGGGCTGCCGAAAGCGCTGCTATTTTGGTGACTGTAATTCCTCAATCAATGGAATTTTTAATTTTTGTATTTTCCTGTGATCTCCTACCGATTTTTACTGGTTATTTGGGCCATAAATATTTTTTAAATTTGTTGAAAATCACTAAAAATTGCGAATTCAAGCGATATTTTTACGAGGCAACCTATCGGCTATTCAAACATAAAAATTCAAAACAATAAAAAATTGTGCAAAGTCATTTAGAACAAGAGAGATTTTTTTTGTTTTCGGGATCGAATCGATCCAATGACAGGGGAATTTTTATAGATGATTTAAATTTGTTGGAAATTTTAAAAACTTAAAATTGAAAAATTGTATAATTTCAAATCAGTCTTTTCCTTCAAAAAGTATATAAGATTCACTTCTTAATACGCGATTATTGCATTTTAGTGCAATTTCAATCCAGTCCACATCACCAAAAAAAATTTAATTCTCACGCAAAGTATAGAAAAATTTAATGAATATCAAAATTCGATAAATCTCCGGCATTTGCAGACGGGGTGGTGGATTATAGAAAATAGAGAGAGAGAGAGGGCTCGTGATTTATAAATGCGTATTAGCATAAATCGAAAAAGTGGGAGTAATTAAATTCTAACAAACAAAAAAAAGGTGGTGGGGTGGGCGCGGCGAATTTTGCATGTTGCTTTGTTGTTGTTTTTGTTTGGAAGATGGTGAGAGTTCAGTTGGATTGACCTGCCATTTTCCCGGGGGGGCGAGCGCGACTGAAATAGGCCTAGAAAACGGATGCGGGGAGGAGGGTGCATTTTAGGGTTCAGGGTTAGATTAAGACTTAGACTTGGGCTTAGGTTGAGGCTACGGTAAGGCTTAGGGCAAAGCGAAAGCTTAGGCTTCGATTAGGTTTAGCCTTAAGCCCTTGCCAGTTAAGCTAAATTCGCCCTCTACACTACCGTAACCTCAAAGCCTAAAATGCGCCCCAACGTACAGTAGAAAAACTCGAGGACTGCTGAGGATTTCGGAAAAACTCGGGTGGGGGAAAGCGGGGGGATACACGCGTGGTTGAGCGGCGGTGCTTGATTTTTGCCAATTTTTCGGCAGTATTCAAATTATGCAAATTGCATCCCAAAAATTGGCCCCAAAATCTCGGCACCGCCGGGGAACACGATTAAACACGGAGGCAGGGCTGAGGGGAGGTGGGCGAGGCAGTTTTTGGGCGTTTTTTAGAATTTTTAAGATGTTTTTAGGCTAAAATACACCCACAAAATGCGAACTCCACCTGCCCCTCTTCAAATACAAGTGAGCATATTTTAGTAGAAAAAATTATAATTGGATTACGGTGGGCGGGGCGGGGTTTAGAAAATTTTCCCGTTAGAAAAATCCAAATTCCCGGCCCCGTCCAGCTGCACAAAGACAACAGAAATCCGAAATAGCAAAAAAATTATGTTTAGACACTCAATAAAATCGGGGAATTTCACGGATGATTCGGAATTCTACAGGTGGTTTTGGGGATGGTTGAGAGCCTGCACGGGAAACAAATCGCAAAACACATAGGTGGGGGAAACAAATCCCGAAATTCGAGTAAAAGGCCGTACTTTGACTATAAACGCACAACGAGCGAGACGGATCGTAGCGGAAAAGTTTGTAAAGGGGAATTTATAGAAACAGAACAGCGCAAAAAAACGTCTAAAATTAGAGGCGAGGCGTGGAAGAGTACCAGCAGCTACCTAACAACGTTAAGAATTGGAAATACGAGACCGGCAGTCGGATGGTAGGCGGCCAAGGAATTGTTGGCCACTTGCCAAGAGCACAGCGGGGTCCGGGAGGGACTGGGTGGTTACCGTAACTAGAAAACAAGCTGCCACTGGCGAAAGGTTTCGAAATTCGAAATCTCTCGAGCCAATGGTTCTAGGGGATCAGGCTGCGGGCTATTGGAAATGACTATTGGAGCTCGGCGTTCATCTACTCCTTCTTGTCCTGGACGAACAGCTCGAAATGGACGAGGCCCAATCGGGAGGTGATGTCGTGCTCGATGTTGAGGGCGTACGCACGGCACTCGACGAGCACCAGCTTGTTTCGTGGCAAGGTTTCGAAGCGGACCATGGCCTGGAAAGGGGGATTTGAAGAGGGATGGCAAGAAAGAGAGAGAGAGAGAGAGAGAGAGAGAGAGAGAGAGAGAGAAAGCGAGGGAGCGGGAGAGAGGGGGAGAGCTTAGAGAGCGTCGCACATCCCGCGTACTTAAGTTCACCTCAGTAGCCCGGCAAGTTCAGCAAGTACAGGGCGTGTTCAGCAAAAGAGAGAAATCGTAGAAAACTCACAATGGGTTGGTGGTAGTTGTCGACAAAGATGTACGGGTAGAATTTGCCGCTGATGCCCTCCTTGGGGACGTACGTCGTCTTGCCAATGTGCTCCTTGTCGACGTTGGTCTAAAAAAAAGATATTTTCTGCTCTCCCTCAGCCCAGGTGGTTTAATTATAGTTTATTCGTTTTCGCTGAGTTAAATACCAGAAAATAAAATCTTTGATAAGGCAAACGATGCGCAAATTAGGGCGGTAATCGATTACGTAATTTAAATATAGTAAAATCTTACAGTTCCGTCGCAGTGAAGGGCAATGGAGCCGTTCTTGTAGCGGTCGCGGACCTGCTCGGGCACCGAATTGGGCGCGAAATCGACCGGGCTCCAGCCGATCAGACGGTTGAGTGACAGCACGACGCACGGCTGGAAATTTGATTATTGTATTTGACGTATATATTATTTTATTTCTATTGTATTATTTTATTTGTATTTAGTTGATTTTCGGACGCAAATAAAATATTTGCATTCTCACATTTTAAATGTGTAGTTATGTAAATAATTTTTGCTAATTCTCCTCAGTTTCCCATCCCAAATTCTCGCCCTTCTGAAGCCGTTCCAAACTTCCACCCTCTGCCCCCCAAAATCCATTTTTTACGCGACCAACCCCCCGATTCAAATGCGAAATTCGGAAGGCGGCCCAGCCAGCCGGGGAGAGCCGGGCAGAGTTGAGGCTCAGAATGGCCGGGTCCCGCCTGGGTCTCAAAATCTTTGGGCCCTCCCCGAATTTCCCACCCTCTCGCCCAGGGCCCTGCCGAGGCCAGAGCACGATGACGTCACAACGGGGGCCCAGTCTTTTTTTTTTGTCGCCGCGTCCCCGCTGGCTAGCATGGTCGGGGAAAAGCGGGGAGAAGCGCAGGCGCGCCCTGGAAAAAACGGAAATTTCCGAAAAATGCCCCCAACACCGCCTGCTGCTTAGGGTGGCGCGGCACGGGTGGGGGCGCGCAAACATGGGACGTATTGCGTTAGGGTATTCTTCGGTTGAGCTTAGCTTAAGCATAGGCTTAGGCTTAGGCTTAATCTAGGATTCTTTAATTTACCTTGCCCTCCTTGAAACCGTACTGCTTGGCGGCCGAGCAGCCGGCCTTGTCGAAGTCGGCGAGCGAGAAGCGGCAGGGCTGAAAGAGTAAAATTTGCATAAGTTTGCGTATTCACGAAAACATAAGCAGAATATTTCGAAAAACTAATTTGCATATGGCGAACTAACCCTGGCTGCGCTGCCGTCGGCGAGCAGGTTGCTGTTGTTGTCGTCCCCGACGCATTCGCGGGTTCCGTTGGTGTTCTAGAGCGGTGGAATAGATTGATAAATTTAGGTCCCCTTTCTTTCTCTCTCTATCCTTTTCCCTCGCTCTTCCACTCACCTTGTACTTGCTCAAATAGCCGTCCAACTGGTCAACGTACGGCTTCCACGACTCGGGGTTTTTCAAGTTGAACTTGATCAGCGTTGAGTCGGGGTTCTCCTTCAGCCATGGCTGGTAGCCGACACCTGCAAATATTAGCATATTAATTGCAACTTTTAGGTATTCAGCACTTTTATTAGTGTCCAACGAATTCGGCAAGTTCAGGCCGTATCCATCTACCTGATACCCCCTCAGAATTTTCGCGAAAACCCGACGTCCGCCCCAATTTTGCGCTGACCGCCTGTGCCCTGCAAAATAGTCCCAAAAAATCGCCGGGCTGGTCAGCCGAGAAATTTGAGTTGGTAGAGAGGTATGTGCACACGCATGATTGGACACTTCAAGGCCGCCGCCCGGCCCAAAATTCTTTTGCCGATGAGCCGCGGCTCTCGCTTCCCCTTGACAACCTCCAAAAATCCTGAAACGGATTTTTTCACCGGCTCCGTAAATAGGTGTAGCATGGAACGACACGGCTTGAGAGGCAGAGGAAAAATTTTCGGAAACTTCCAAGAAAAACGGTTAGTCATGAAAAGTCATTGTTTTCCTAATGAAACCCTGCTAGCTTTATGCCTGTGGGTTCTTCAGAGAATTTAGTGAAGTTTCGAAAGACAAAAAAGGCTCAAAAGCACCAAAATAACGAAGAGAAATGTTCAAAACGAGTTATTCGAAAAACTTAACGTCCATATCTCCCCAGCTAGTCTGCAATGTTACAGGTTTAAATTTAGCTAGCTTAATTAGTGGTCTCTCCGAAAAGAATAATTGCTACCCTGCCTTTCCCTAGCTTTAAATTTTGACCACCAGTCTGAGTGAACCATCTTAAATTGGAAAGAAAAATATGTAGAGGTTTTTTGGTGAATTTTCAAGGTATCCAGGGTACCTTAAACATATCGCCCACTCACCGGGGTTAATGCCAATAATCGTGCCCTTGCCGTAGAAGCGGGGGACCTTGTCGTCGAGGGTGCCGAGGAAAATGGCCAGGCATCCCACCCAGAACGCCGCCAAAAGGGCGTAGAAGATGATGTAGAACACGGTAATTTGGACTGAAAGGAATCGATAAACTTGTTTCTTATTACGTGGATACTACCAAGACGTAAATCTTTAAATTGGGGCTAGAAACTGATACTCGTTCGTTAAAGACTTACACCAACTCTTCGAAGTTCTACCCAGGCAGGTACCACGTCGCTTGTTGTAGAGGAACTCTTTCCATCCGTGATCGTAGTCCACTTCTTCTTTCTTTGCCCGGCCATTTGCCATTAACTGGAAGGGAAGGTATGTAAATAATGTTAGAAAAAGGTTACTTTGTCTGGTAATGCCTTTATAGTCTGAGAAAATGCCTAGGGTTTTTCAAGGGGGCCAGAAAGCGTCAGAATCTGCTTTTTCTACTTAAAGTGAGAGCGCATCCGATTCTTACAGCCCTTCCCTAGCTTTAAGATAGGCTATAAAAAAAATCTCCTTCTCTTCCCCACCCAGGAAATACATAAATTAGCAAGCACACGCGATCTTCGTCTACCAGCCCAAAATAAAAATTTCCGGAAGTTCCTATCGACGCGGAATTTGGTTTTTTTTTAATTTTTGAAGCTGAAGAATTACAAGAACGTATCAGCCGTTTAAAAACCGTGTTAGCATTTACTTTTTTTAGAAAACTCACGGCATTGTTCTCCTCGATTGCATTGTCCTCCTTGGTCATGACTGTGTGTGCTACCCAAGTAGAGGAGGGGACGGTAGAATTTGGGCGACTTCTAGGGGAGGGCTGGGGATGTGGATGTCACACCGGGGCTGGCACGACGACGCTACTACCGGATCTGCGGCCCGACTTTTACGTCGAATTTGGGGATCGCCTGCAAATGTATAGATCAAAATATACTTTCAAGTATTGGGAATGCATTGAATTGACGGAGTTTATAAAAGAGAGAGAGAGAGAGAGAGAGAGAGAGAGAGAGAGAGACAGAGAGAGAGCGAGAGAGAGCAGGGGGAGAGTGAGCGAGGGAGAAATTTAGGAAAAATGACACATATCGTCAAGAAGAAGAGCGACAGAAAGCTTGTAGAAATGGTAAATGGTTAATTTTCTCTCTCCCGCTTTCTCTCGCTCTCTCTCTCTCTCCCTCTCCCTCTCCCTCTCTCTCGCTCTCGCTCTTTCTTCGCCAAACCAAGTCAAATTATGAAGCTAGAAAGCAGGCCGAGTAGGCCAAAAGAAAGAGACCGGCAACTGATAGTTTGCAAAATTAGAAGAGTAACATTAACATAATTTGAAGCTTTTGCTCCCAATCGAGAGCTTCTGCCCCGTTTTGAGCAGTATTTGCTTGCCCCTTCCCCTCCCCCCAGTCCTATGTGTGTCACCATGCCAATCGCAATTTGGATAATGCGTGCTTTCAAACGGCCCGGGGTGACGAGACAGGCCAGCGCCTAAATTGGCCCGCCGCCAAATTTAGGGCCCGGGAAGGGCTCTGTCTTTCAGCAAAATTCACATAAACGCCTCAAAAATACGAAAAATCTCCTAGACGAAGCCTCGTCACTCTGCCGGTTAGACGATTTTGGATCTCGGTTTGGGCCAACGGGAAACCCATAAAAAAGAGTGGTCAAAATGCCCATAAAAAAGACGCTGATACACGGTGGAGGTTGAGCCTTCGAGAAATCAAATGTTGAGCACAGAGTACTGGGAGGAGAGCATTGAGTTGGGTAAGGGGCAGAGGCAGCGCCTCGAACTATCGAGGATCGGCCGGGGGAGCCCGGTTGCTGCCAGCCGCCCATAATTTACAATGATTTGGGGTAGATGGGTGTCCCCAAGATATTC